CCTCATTGGCTAAAATAAATCACATAGCCATATCTAGCTTCGACGGGGAGAGAAAGTATTATCCTGCCATGTGCGTGGATGGAGGTGAACCGGAGTCTTGACGAATACCCCTGTTGGCTACCAGGGGTGCTGATGCTTACAGGACACACACCCCACATGGTGGTCCTGGCAGAGCCCCGTGTACATGCTGGCGAGAAATGAACACCATTGGAAAAAGGGTTTTGTTAATGAATTATGAAAAATGGACATCTATCATTTTTTAATGTGTATAAAATACTTCAACTTGTAATTTAAAGATCAAAAAATGTATGCAAACATTAAGGAGTAATCATAGAAGCCATATTTCTTTTTCCTGTTTAGTTGTCATTGTTGTATGACCGTCTCTATTGAGGCTTTATGGGGATGCCTGCCCAGAGGTGACTCTTAGATGGAGGTGCGGTATCCAGCTTGAGCTCGCCTGTGCCCCTGTGAAACAGAATACCTGAAGCCACATGCCCTCCCAGGCAAAACAAGGCTCTCACCAGTCATGAAAATTCAGGGTGGTGAGAGGTGTGGGTCAGTCACGATAGTGGAATGTGCTCATAAAATCGGGCATGACTTGAACAGACCAGCCCTGCAGATGCGGGACTTGCCAGCACAGGAATGCACCGATCATGTGCAGAATGGCTTTGTCTGCCCTGGGCGCCGCCGCTCATCTTCCACTTTTCCTGCACTGAAGTGCCCTTTTCCTGGGGTTGGTCTTGGGCAGTTCAGCGGGAGCTGTTGAACAAGGGTGTTCTGTTGGGTTCCTCGGGCTCGCACAGGTGATGACTTGTTTTCTCCTGCCCCGTTGCTCCACTTCGCCCTGCCCCACAGTGTGGAGATAGGACTTCAACCTATCTTTGTCTGGTACGACCAGTGTGCGCAGAAAGGGTGAAGAGTGTTTATTTAATGTGATATCTCAAGGGGATGTTGATTTGTACAGGTGACCCTTGGGCAGTGTCTTCTCAGGCCATCCATTCCACCTTGAGGCTGGGCGTTTTTTTGTTTTGTTTTGTTTTAAAAGATTTTATTCATTTATTTGAAAGAGAGAGAGCGTGAGTGAGAGAGCAGCAGAGGGGAGGGAGAAGCAGACTCTCCACTGAGCAGGGAGCCCGATATGGGGCTGGAGACCGATATGGGGCTCGATCCCAGGACCCTGAGATCATGATCTGAGCTGAAGGCAGCCGTTTGACCAACTGAGCCACCCAGGTGCTGCGAGGCAGGGCATTTTGATACTTTCCAGTGTTCTCTTTTCACTGTGTAAAGAATCCCCAGGGTACCATTCTACCATCTCTCCTTCCCACACCCCCCATTTCTGTCCACGTTTATTATTCTCCTGCAGAGAATTCCACCTAGAAGCTGTGACTGCAGTTCCCTTCAGAGGACATGTCATAGTGACCCCACTGTGTGTCACTCAGCCCAGTATCTTAAATGTTATGGGAAATCAAGATATATCTATTATTTTTAGAAAGAATTAAATTATAGAGGCTTTCCACTATTTTAAGAAACCATACTTGTGGAAAAAATATAGGAACATAAACCAGATATCTTTGCCTTCAGCTAAGAATTTTTTTTCCTCCGATATATTCTTGTTGCTACTCCCAATTGAACCCCAAGTTCCAAATATACATTATGAGTCTTTTGTCTCCTTTTAGCTACAAGTGCTGTTCTGTCTGAATCATCAGGCTTCCTGTTGTCTCTTGTTCATACTCATACCCTCCAGGCAGACTTCCCAGTTACAGGCAGGGGCAAAGATGGTACAGTACCAGATAGCATGCTCTCGTTATCTGGGCATCAGCCATCTGCTGTCCCGGGCAACCTGGGCACCGCTCCTCTGCCCCCCCGCCCCCCCCCAGATCTTACCTGTTATGCAGCTCACAGCAGTCACCAGGGATGCCTGGAGTTGTCTTGGTGATTATCAGTAGATTGTGTGCCTTTTTCTTGCATGAATATTTTCACACCTTCATTTTTAAGTGAATTTTGCAGTTTCTGGTCTGCCTTGGTGGTGGTGGTGGGCTGTTGAAAGACTGTGAAGGAGGAACCGTAAGTGGGGAATTAGAGGAGAGTGAGAGGGACGTCTGGGTGGCTCAGTCAGGTAAACATCTGCCTTCTGCTTGGGTTGTGATCCCAGGACCGGCCCCGCATGGAGCCCTGTGTCTGGCTCCCAGCTCAGCAAGGAGTCTGCTTCTCCCTCTGCCCCTTCCCCTGCTGGTGCTTGTTCGCACGTGCACTCTTTCTCTCGCAAACAAATAAAAATCTTAAAAAAAAAAAAAAAGAAAGGAGGGGGCGCCTGGGTGGCTCAGTTGTTAAGCGTCTGCCTTCGGCTCAGGTCATGATCCCAGGGTCCTGGGATCGAGCCCCGCATCGGGCTCTCTGCTCCGCGGGAAGCCTGCTTCTCCCTCTCTCACTCCCCCTGCTTGTGTTCCCTCTCTCACTGTGTCTCTCTCTGTCAAAATAAATAAATAAAATCTTTAAAAAAAGAGAAAGGAGAGTGAGAGTTGTTGACTTTGTAAAGGGAAGCATTTCACAGTGATTTTTTTTCTTATTAAAGATTTACTTGTCAGGGAGAGAGAGAGAGTACAAGCAGGGGGAGTGGCAGGCAGAGCGAAAAGCAGGTTCTGTGCTGAGCAGGGAGCCCGATGTGGGGCTCCATGTGGGACTCAATCCCAGGACCCTGGGATCACAGCCGAAGTGGAAGGCAGACGCTTAACTGACTGAGCCACCCAGGCGCCCCATTTCACGGTGATTTGTAGTCCCAGAGAGCTGAATATGGAAAACCAAAGAGGAGGAGCCTGCAAGATGGCAGTGCAGTAGGAATCACGGCATAAACGAGATCCAGGTCAGGCTGGGCATTATCTTGTAATTATTATAAAATCTAAAACTGGTGGTCTTCACGAGAGTGCCAGCTACACTGACACATGTACATACTATACACACACACACAATTTGAAGGTGGGAATGAAGACTAATAACAAAAGCTCATAGATATTTTGCAGGGATGGAGAGAAACAGTATTCTGCTGTGAGTATGTTCCAGAAGAATATGAACCTTTTTCATTTATTGACACATAGTGTCTGTGACACACTGTCATTTTGTGGACTTCTGTTGTTCCTTGTAAAATATGATGGATTGTGGATGAAAAGGCATAACTTCATGGAAAGAGTATTTGTGGCCTGTTAGGGTTTTGATCTGTTCAGGAAAGCCTCCCTGTAGATGTGACTTTCACTCACCCTTGATCCTTGCCTCAGTTTCCACGTACTTCCCATGTGTTGGACCTTGAGTGGAGGTTATTTGATGCTGCAGGTTGTCCCTGAGAACAAAAGTTCGCATCACTATTTCTCTGAAAGCAGCTATCTCACAAAGGACTGCAATATAGCCTCCACAACCTTGTTGCCTCCAGTCTTGTTCCTGGAGCTCCGAGCAGCCCCCAGGAAGTTACCACGTTAATACTGATCAAGGTGGTTTGTAGGTGTGGTCTCTGCCTTGATTTATACCAACATATTTAGCAGACTTATTTCCTGCGTACTCATGTTTCAGTATGGCGTTGGGCTTAGTGTGTTGTGCTTATCCTTGAAGGCATTTGTCCCTGCCCAGCAGCTTCTGGGTTACGCCATGGGAAGCAACAGATTTAGGGAAGGAGGAGAACATTGGACGTGCTGGGTGAGAAGTCTTACCCTTGCCCGTCTGCCACCGGCCCTGAAAGTGCAAAGCTAGCAAGTACATATGGCTCTTGGCATTAGGAAAACCTCGCTGAAATGAAATTAAAATTCCTCAGCTGGACAGGAAATTAATCAGGGCTGAATGCAGTAGACAGGGACAGAAGCTAGAGTCCTTGTTCCATCGCTGATGAATGTTTTATTGTTATGCAAATGAGATTAAATGCACTGTGGCGTTGAGGGGGCAGAGAAGTGAAGGAGATGAACAGGTTCCTTAGGATTTAAACTCTAGCTACAAAAATGTTTTTATAGCATCTGCTGCCTCTTAGACCCTCAAATGCTGAGTAAGGGAAGCACCTCAGCTTTTTCTGTCATTGTTTCTGCAAAGCAGTCTTGTTGACAGTGTGATATATTGCAACTGATTCATTCCGTAACGCTACTAGATCGCCCACAGTGAAGCAAGCCACCGTTTGCCAGGTGTTAGGGCCAAATCATGAAAACACCTGGTTCTTGCCTTTCCAGAGTTCATAGTCAATGGGCTCAGTGAGTTGTGGAAACAAAGCATCACACATCACCTGGAAAACTCAGTTGCAGGATGTTTAAATTGAATCTGGTAGAAAAGGATATTGGAAAGAATGAAGTCTGTAGATAACCAGCCGGATAAGAAATGTTGTCATACCACTTAGGATTATTTGGTTGAAAAGTGGCTGAAACATACCCTGGCAATGTCAACAAAGAAGGGAATGAATTAAAAATAAAGAAATTCATTTTCATTAAAAAAATAAAAATTAAAAAAACAAAAAGGGAATGAATTGGTACAAGGAAAACTGAACAGCCATAAGGGAACGTGGGAGGGAAGCTCTGGGATATAGATGTCGGGAACTAAGGGACAATCTTTTCAGGCCCCTCAGTCAAGTGAGTGAACTCCATGCAATCTTAAGTCCGTTCACTCAAGATTCACCTTCCCAAAAGAAGGTGTCTGATGGATCCAGCTCCGGCACTTGCCTACTTCTTGGCGAGGGAAAAGCAAGAGACTTGGATAATGCCACAAAGATTGTGAGCAATGGCAGAGGGACTTTCCCCAAAGACAGAATGAATGCTACAAAGTCAAAGACTTTGTCCATGGGGGTGGCGGGGGTGGGTGCATTATAAAATTCAGCTGCTGTTGTGGCTTCTGGGATCCCTGGCCAATGTGCAGGCCTATGTGTATTGGGAGCATGCTCAACATTGAGGTTGTGGTGGTTTGAGACCATAAAATTGAGCATCACTCATCGATAGGTGCATCCACTCACTGGCACTTCTGTCTTGTTCTCTTGATCCCAGTGTGAGCAGTCCCACCTCATGAGAGAACATGAGGATGTCCAGGAGCGGACGACGCTTCGGTACGAGGAGCGCATCACGGAACTCCATAGCATCATTGCTGAGCTCAATAAGAAGATAGACCGTTTGCAAGGCACCACCATCAGGTAGAGAGCTCCCAGCCGCGGCTTTCTCTCTGCCCCTCTGGGCTCTAACCTGGCTCTTGGAGTTGAAGTCATCCCAATGAATAATAATGATGTTTTATTTGCAGCTAAGACTTTTACAGTTGATAACTACTTTCTCTTTACCTTGTTAACCATGCCCTTTCCCCTCCACTATTCTGTTCTCATCTTGATTGTCACGAGGGCTCCCCTGGAAAGTAGCCAGGGTGGGAGTTGTAATCCTCAGTTTACTGATAAGAGCATGGAATCAGAAATGGGTGAACTGATTGATTAGCGAGTTGTGAAGGGCGCCCCTCCATCTCCCTCCCAGGATCCCTACCACCTCTCGAATCCCCCAGGTCTGCTCTCGATGTGCAAACTGTGTGCCTCCCTTGGGAATTTTGAGAGATCTCTGAATGTGGCTTAGGACTAAGCAGTATGTCTGCTTCTAGATAATCTAACGTCTAGAGCTCACCTGAAGTTGATTTACCAACATTGATGTGGCCTCTTACAAACTCCTGGGGTAGGGAACAAGATTGGATACATCATTTTACTGGCAAAAAGGCTGGGGCTTAAAAATATTAGGGAATTACTTTGAAGTTCTAGTTAGCAGAGGATAGAGGTGGAGTTAAAACCCGCAGTCTCTCTGCTTTTACTTAATATTCTTTCCATGAAAGTGACTCTTGGGGGTCCTGCCTTCCTCATCAATCAGTTAACCCCTAAGGCTCCTGCATGCAGCCCTTAATTGGCGTATCTGCCCTGCTGTTCAGAGGAGGGGTTCTCTTTGAGTGACTTAGCCAAGGATAACTTTTATCTTCCTGCCTGTCCTCAGGGAACCGCCCTGAGGAAAGCAAATGGTTGTCACCTACCTTTATGGAGAAAGAGGGCTTTGTTCACTGAATGTTTGTCCAAGCCTCAATCAGGGCAGTTGTAGAGGTAACTACTTTAAACTCTCCCTCTAGAAGTCCCAGGTTAGAAGAAACTTCGGGTGCATTTTCTTCCAAGTCTGAGAGAGTAATGACAGGGTTATTTGATGAGGGAACTGATGGGCCTCTGGTTTTTTGGGCAAAATCATGGAAACTTTGCACTAAACTGGAGCCACACAGTAAATTCCATATTCCAATTTAGAATCTCAAGGCCTTGAAATTGTATCCTGGTCTTGAGAGTGATTGTAGGTTAGAAACGCATGAGCAGAGAAGAATTTTTCAGACCGAAGAAATGATTATAGCAGATTTAAAGGGGGCTGACAGAGTACATTGGCAAATTTGTAATTTCCATTAAAACATGTTGCACTTTTAAACACTTGAGAAGGTGAGGCAAATGGGCTCAGTGAGTTGTGGAAAAAAAGCATCACACATCACCTAGAAAACTCAGTTGCAGGATGTTTAAATTGAATGTAACGGCCAAACTGCTTCGTGTTAAAATACAGTGAACTTCTTGACCATAAACATTTATTGGTGCCTTTTATTTAAAGGAGATTGTGTCTGTGCAGATGTCATATTAAATTCTGCCAGTTTTCATTATGTAACTGAGCTGGCCCCTCCTTAAGGGGACTCCCTGCAGGCCATGCAGACATGTGGGCCAGGAAGACAAAGCTCTTCTGGTCCCCTGACCTCCTCGGCTAAGGCATGTCTCCTGCCCCCAGCACTCCAGGAAATTGGTTTGCCCTCAGGTCCTGAGATGCTTGCTAGACTGAGTGTGGTGGGAGCCAGACACCTTGGAGGAACTCCAACTGCCCTCGCAGATCCAGGGTGTAGAGAATAGATTGTCACATCAGTCAGGTACAATGCTGGTACTTACAGATTTTCTTGTCATTTTAGTTTGGGCCTGAGTTAGGAATTTACTGGAAGTGCTGCAAAATAATTGTAAGGAAATAGTTTATGTAAGCTATGATATATCCATACGTAAGCAATACTAAATTGCTTAAGTAAAAACAAAAATAATCTCATAGTGGTAAACTTTTATCTCAAGTCACAGTCAGAACGGGGACCTTCTGTGGCCACCCTAGAAGACACTCTCCCATCTCCTGTAGCCACAGGGCTGACACAGCCAAGAATCAGACACTGCAGGTGGCTGAATTCCAATGTAAGTTGAATTCACAGCCATATCAGATCTCTTAGGTAAAAATGAAGCATTGATAGGAAAAGAAGAAATGGTGAGAATTTGAATTGAGACCCTTGGGTAGGTTTCCATGAATCAGGATACCTAGAGCCTTACAAACTCCTGTAAACTGCCCTGTCCTGCAGAAGCGCTCCCCCTCCCTGTCCGATAAAGCTAGTCTTACTTTGCTTGGAGACTCTGTAGCAATCTGATCACAAGTTGGGGGTGCCAGGTGTACACACATAGGACCAAGTCCCTCAGGAATAAAGATTGCTAATTATTTCACTCGGTGAAGAGCTCGAACCAACCAAGGTGCTGGCCAAACACAAAGGAAATAGGGATTTCCTAGGGAAGAAGAAGTTTAGAAACATCAACCCTAGCCTTTTGGCCAGTTGCAGAAAGGACGGCTAGACTGTGCATATTTCTGTGCTTATTTGTGTATACAATTTCTTTTTTATCTTCTTAATTTCTCCTATTATACAAGGTGAGCTGGTATTGGTGAAACTTATCTATTGGTTAGGTTAGATGATATCTAGGAGGATTTGCCACTGACCTAGAAGAGAAGTGGTTACCTGACAATGGATACAATAACTGATGGGACTTAGGGTCTCCCACTTTGGTGAGAAGGTGAATCATTCACATTTGAATGACAGATGGTTACAGAAGCTTGGTGTCATTGCTATTGTAATTTGGAAATTTCAGGGTGTATGAGAGGTTGTGTATGGTTGTTGAGTAGCCAAAGAGGGTGGCCTATGACATGTTATCTAGCACCTGGTACCATTCCCACTCCTTCTGTCTACTCTCCCCAGAATCAGAGGCTGGACCCTTGGGACTGCTTCCCAGATTGCCTTAATAGCTGGGTTCTGGAAACAGTTTTGGTTCTGCCAGTGAGGTGCCTTCAGATGGGTTTGGAAAGCAGAAGGGAGGTGGGAGCCATTGTTCCTCAGGCCATGATGGAGGCAGCTGACAGAGGCTTTCATGGGCATGAGGTCCTGCACCTCAGAGCCAGGAGCTGTGGGCAGGTGTGAAGGTAGCGTCAGTTTGCTGACCTTTGAGGGGTCCACGCCTGCGATGGCAAATCTGACAGCTCCTAGTGGCCTCCACCCACACTTCTCTGGTCCTTCCAACAGTTATGCGAGCGTGGAACTGCCTAAATTAAATCTCTTCTACTTGAAACATCCAGTGTAGTTTATGTTCCTAACTGAACCCTGCCTAATGCATCCTAAATCCCATCTCCTAGGAATAAGCACTGGACATTTTGTATATATGGCCTTCTAAAAAATTTTACTCATGAATATTTTAAATAAATTGGATCATATAGCAAGCAATGTTTTTGTAATATATGCTTTTCCGCTTAACTGTATATTATGAGTGGCTTCTTTTAATGCTTATTTGACTTGGAGAGATTATATAATGGGATGGGGAAAATGGAAAAATACATCAGTAGCTCACTTTGGAATGGGGGGGGTGGATTTCTAAGCAAATTAAACATGAGCTCTTTTGTTTCCCAAAGAGATTCTTTTCTTTTTTTAAAGATTTTATTTATTTATTTGAGAGAGAGAGCGCGTTCACGAGCGGGGGGGGGGGGGGGTAGAGGCAGAGGGAGAAGCAGACTTCCCCCTGAGCAGAGAGCTTGAGGCGGAACTCGATCCCAGGACCCTGGGATCATGACCTGAGCCGAAGGTATATGCTTAACTGACTGAGCCCCCCAGCACCCCCAAGGAGATTATTTTCTTTGCGCCAAAGCTACTCTCATAACATCATCCTTTCACTGCCAGCTCTCATGAGTAGTCATGTTTTCTGCCTCATTTCCTGTTTGTTAGCCCACTGCTGTCTGGCTTCTGAGTGCAACAGTTTCCCGAAGCTCCTTTTGCTAAGGATTGAATTATGTATCCCAAAATCAAAATTCATACGTATGTGGAAGCCCTACCCCTGAATATGATGGCCTTTTTGAGTTGGGGCCTTTGGGAGCTACTTCTGTTTCTTTGAGGTCTGAGGATGGGGACTGCATGGTAGGTGTAATGAGCGCCCTTAGAAGAAGACACCAGAGGGCTTGCTCATGGGAGTGCACTCCCCCTGCTGTGTGAGGACCCAGTGACAGGGCAGACATCTGTAAGCCAGGAAGAAAGCCCTTACCAGAAACTGACCATGCGGCCACCTTGATTTTGGACTTCAAACCAAAGCCTAGAAGTAAGAGAAAATAAAATCCTGTTGCTTAAGCTGGCTCGTCTACAGTGTCTTGTTACAGCAGCAGCCTGAGTGAAGAGACTTTTTTTAGAATCACTAATGACTTCTTAACTGAAAAATCCAGGGACCTTTTCTTGTGTCTGGTCCCTTTCTGCAGGATTTGCTTCCAAATCTCCCTTCTTGGTGTGTTTTTCTTGAACTTCTGGGACCCTGTATCTTCTGTCCCTGAGATTCACCTTCAGCCTTGGCTCTTACCCTAGGCTCTCCCCTCCTTTCACCTCCAAGGGCTACAACCCTGCAGCCCTGACCCCTCCCCTTTGAGTTACCTCCCTCTGCACTGGCACTTCACCTTTCTGCTGCTTTGTCTGCAAAATGCTCATTTGGCAACAAAGATAATATGCAAAGTCCCGTCTACTCTAATGTAATCCAGTCTCTAAAATCTCATACCTGCACCATGAGCCTGACCTTTCCATTTGCCCAGTTAATTCACCAAAAGATTCATGGATGAGTCTGTCTTCCTTTGTGCTAGATGGAAAAATAAGAGGAGGAATTACAGAAAGAATCAGGACTTACCACTGATTCCTGCTTTAGAGACTCTAAGAGAATTGAAAGGAATACATTTCCTCATTGTATCTAAAAAGTCTTTGTTCTTTAAAAGAATGATGGCATTTCAGGGCAAGTCTGCCTTTACTTGTCAGGAAGAATGTAGTTCAACAAACCCCCACCAGGGTCAGGTAGGCTGGGTTAGCTGGACATAGTTGACTGACAGGTACCAAGGCAGGCAGACATCCATCTGGATCTTGTTCACCCATCAATCCAGTGACAAGGCATGAATGTGCACGCCACAATAGAATAGGCATGGGGATTGCTAAAGAAGTAATATTTGTATCAAATATTACTGATTTCTTAGTACTTCAGCTTCAGGTCTGGAAAGTGGGAAAAGAATTAGCCTTTCATTGACTCTTCCCTTTTCAGATAAGATCATTTCACCCCTAGCCAATAATGAGAAGGAATCTTTAAAAATCATCGTCAGCAACAACAACCAAATCTTCTCCTTAGATCACCATATTTGACTGCTGTTTCATTTGTCCTAAATTTAGGAAAGAGGCTGTACTGCTCACTAGTTGTAGAATCTTGGTTAAATCACTAGCCTCTTGAAGCTTCAGTGGTCTTATTTGTAAATTAAAGGTATTGATCCCGGCTTTGATGAACCCTAAGATCTCTGCTGGTCAGCCACTGCTCATTATGTAGGTTGTGCGTACAATCTAATGCCGCGTCCTTGGGAGTGTTTTTCTTTTGTTTTGTCGTTTAAGCTCGTAGCAAGCACTAATCATTGCCACTCTAAGAGCAACTTGGAAGCACTTCACAAATGCTTCTAGGTGAATGAAATAAGGTACATTTAGAATCCTGTGAGATGATTCTTTATCTTCCAAAGAGAAACACCTGAGCACTTTGTAATTCCATAATTATGAAACTACCACAATAGTGTATAATTACCAACATTTATCAGTCGATTAAGCTTCTGGGGTTTGTTTTGTTTTGTTGTTGTTGTTGTTTGGCTTAAAATGATCACTTCTTGGATCTTTTCATGCTTTCTTCCTTCTCATCTCCAGCATTAGCAGGTGGTGTTATTTGGGGAGATCCTTTTTCCCCCAAAGGGATAAGTTTCATTTGCCAAGAGTTACTGTATACACAACAGAAAGAAGCAAGCAATAAAGTCACTTTGAGATGCTGATGCTGTGGTGGTAGTTAGACTTCTTTACCAGCCAGGGGACTCCTACTGCACAGAGCAGCCTTGAAAACACATCTCATGTTCTTACTTGTGTAAAACTGCTGGGATTTGTAGAGGCTTTTTGACTTCTTGTTCCATTGCTCTGGATGAACTGGTGCTCCCGAATAACACAGTAGAGAGAGAACCCCGAGCACCCATGTTCTACATACACTGCAATCACAGATTGACCGTCTGCTTACAAAAGGCCCTATGAGAATTGGCTTTTGTTCTTTCTCTGTCCCAGATTCCAGCCTCTTTTTAGGAATGATGCCAGTATTGCTGTTCAGGAGATGATAAGGATATGCAACTCTGTGAATTTTTTTAACCAAAGTCAGTGGGTGAAACAAAAGGGTTGTACACACTTTAATATTTGGGTTCAGTTTAACCATTTTTTCTACCTCTTCCTTTGTGGTACAGAACCCTGCCTGATGTTGCAAGGTTCCTTTCTGCCTCTCACTATTATTGACTTGGTTTGCACGAGTTGTTTTGTACTATAATGCTCACTATAATTACCATAAGGAGGAATCTTAACCAGGAATTGTGTGTGCTCAGCTCAGCCCTTCCCTTTGGGGTCAAGAACACAGACCTTAGGCACTTCCCCCTTGCTTCTTTTCTCTCTTTCCATATGAGAGCTCGGCAACACTTACTTCTTTCCCTGAATTCCTAGACTTCATCATCTTATTTTTGTTCCTCCTGTCTAACTCTAATGATTTGCCTCCTTCGATACAGTAAGTTCTCCTTCTGATCAAAATGGCCTGAGTGCCCCTCCAGCCTCGTGGTTTCCATCAGGCACCCCTTGTGGTTTCAGCAATACCGACCACTTATTCCCCGCCCTCCCATCTCATTCACATTCAAAGGCACCTCTGAGCCTTTGCTTGTGCCCTTCCACCCTTGTGACCTACCTAAAATCTACTTGCCTGGGACTTCTCTGGAGCACTGCTCCATCGCGAAAGTCTTCCCTGGCTACTACTCAGCTGCGGCCCCAGATGCTCCTCCTGCGTCCACACACAGCGTGCTTCTTGGGTTAGAATTAGTTGTGAACACATTTGACTCCCGGAAGACAGCAGCCAGGTGGTCTTTGCTTTCCTGTTCTTATTTTGGTGCTTGAATACATTGACCACTGATCCTTAGTTTGCATTTCATGACCCTGAAAGTCTTTTGCCTAAGATGACACTTCTAGTGTAGTGTGATTGTCCTTCAGACTGTGCTCTGACCTCAGTGAGGAATGGCCCCTGCAATCAACAGTCTCCTTTTTCTAGCCCTTCCCTGTTCACTGCTGTATAAAGTTCATCCTAATAATCCCTAGAAGTAATTCCGTACAAAGCATGGGATTTTAACAGGCCCTATGTGTTTCAGAACCTGCCAAGCCAGGAGGGTTTAAAATGGCTATTAACGACTCTGAAAATGCCATTTATACCAGAGATACAGCAGCATTTATCTGGCTTTCTTGGCTGTAAAACAGTCTCAGCCAAGCTGAAGCTGATTACATTGGCCATGCAACAAAGGTAATTTATTCATCATACACAAAACCTCCTGTTAACTAAAATCAGATTTTTAAGTGCTGATTGAAAGGAGAGCTGATGTATCAGGGCACAATTACCCTCTAGACCAAAAAGTCTACTCTTAAGGTACTTTTTAATTGTTTTCATTCCTAAACCTAATTATTGTTAGCTTTGCAGGTGTCTAATAATTAACTTATTCATAGAACATTAACCTATATTTTTTGCCTTCACCACTCCCATTCTAATTCATAATTTGCATGTCTGGGGGCTTAATATCTGTTAAAAGTCTCCCCAGATTTCTGGATGGCTTTTATTAAAAACACCTTATAAAGCAGGGGCTCAGCTGAATTCCTTCCCTGGGAGGATATTGATTTCTTGAGAGAACTAGGAACTCTGGGGAGTTCTTCACATTCTCTAATTTATAGATGTGTCTCCCCAGCTTAAAATGGCAGTTGCCTCTTCCCCAAGTTTCAGTGATCACCCATTACCATCTGGGCTACCCCAAACCCAAGGCTGTAGACTCTCTGCCCCACTGGTGTCCACAACTTCAAGTGAATGCCAAACCAAGAGGACTTCTCTTCCTGGCTTTTCTACACAGACGTTCGTGGGCTTTGCGGCCTCAATTAAATCCCCTGACAGTTTTCTCTTCTGGCTCACTTGTAAAACAAATGCTTCACAGCAGGTTGATTTTGCCCTCTCCATGTCCGTGTCCATTGTATGTGTAGTGATGGCGGTGGTGTGAGGAAGAGGTATGCCTGTGCTTTGAAAGACGTACTACAATTGTAAGCTTCCTTGACTTGACCATAGCTAGTTCAGGGAGCAAAGGTTGAGGGATTGTGTAGGGTTGAGAAGGGGCGGTGTGTGTGTGTGCAGATGCAACATGGCAGCATTTAAGTGTTGACTTCCTGTTACAGGTGCTGACTGATGGGAACAGACCACTGAGTGACGTGCACTCACCCAATGTCCATTTTTGTCCTCTCCCCATCCTCTTTTCCTATCCTGTAACTCCACTGACTTGCTTTAGGGAAAGTAAGTGTGGTATTTACCAGATACACCTCTCAAAGCATCCAGGTTGATGTGCACAGGTAAGGTGCTGGTTTTCCGGTAGCTCCTGCCCCAAAACCTCCTTATATCCTCTTCCAAGGAGAAAGCCCACCAGTGGGGCTCTCCAGGTGATGGGATGGGACATCCCTGTGCACCAGACTCCTGCTTATTTCGCTCGCTGTAGCTTCAGTACTCAGACCAGCTCTCAGGTCTTGGGTTCTTTTTCACGTCAGAATCTGAGGGGTTGAAGAAATTAATTTCTTCAGGGAATCTTAAAAGCAAAAAAGTTTCTAGTAGGCTGTTAGATGGATCTAGTTCAGTATATGGATATGTATGTGGACCCAGGACCCTTTCAGTTTCACACAGGAACCGTAGAGGTGACTGTTCATTTGGCCTGAAAAGAGTCCTAGTCCATATGGCTGAGGAGGGTGGGCAGGGGTAGTAGATCTGTCTGTTTTCTTTCTGAATGTCTTTCTTGTCCTTAGAAGTCATGTTCTCTAGGAATTTGTCTTCTATCTCTGTCAGTGGTAGCTGACTCTTCTTTTTTTTTTTTTTTTCAGGGAGGAAGATGAGTACTCAGAACTGCGATCAGAACTCAGCCAGAGTCAGCATGAGGTCAACGAAGACTCTCGAAGCATGGACCAAGACCAGACCTCTGTCTCCATCCCTGAAAACCAGTCCACTATGGTCACTGCTGACATGGGTGAGTCTGCCTGCCATTTCACGAAGCCAGAGTTTGGTTTCTGGATTGTAATGGGAATTTTAGAAATATGAGGCAGGCTGAATTAAAATTTAGTCAGGGAGTTTGGTGAGTAGATGAAAGCACATCCATTTGATTCCCTTACATGCTACTCTGTTGGAACTAAAGAGGTGAATGAGCTTTCTGCCCTGATGTTTGTGATTCGAACATAGATCACCTCTATTTGAAAATTCTGGAGATAGGGAACCTGCTGAAAAGGCTATTGTAGTATTCCAAGTTACGGTAAAATCTGAGCTATGATGGCCGGAATGGGAAGGGTGGCGACCCATTGTGGTGGAAGAACCAATAGGTTTCAGTAACTGTTGGGTAAGAAGAAATCCAAAATGACTCTAACCTGTTGATCCTGAGTGACTAAGAGAATGATCATAGTTCTTAGTAAGGATGTTCGGTTGAGAAATGAGTTGGGAAATAAATATATTATGTTTGAGGTTGTAGAGAAATGTCCATCTGGGAATACTTGGTTTGGTGTATTTTAAACTGCAGGTCATGACCTGTTAGTGGGTCTTGAGATTAAATGAAAAATCTTTTTTTTTTTTTAAAGATTTTATTTATTTATTTGACGGAGAGAGACACAGAGAGAGAGGGAACACAAGCAGAGGGAGTGGGAGAGGGAGAAGCAGGCTTCCCGCTGAGCAGGGAGCCCGATGTGGGGCTCGATCCCAGGACCCTGGGACCATGATCTGAGCCGAAGGCAGACGCTTAACGACTGAGCCACCCAGACACCCCGAAAAATATTTTTTAAGTGAAATCAAATAGGAAAAAAAATAAAATGACAGTATTACTTTATGAAACTTACTTGTTGAGTATGTGTGTGTGTGATAAGTTGCCGAGTGAAATGTTTCTGCTGCGGGCTGCAGTCAACCCACAAAATGTTGCAAAACCACTGGTCTACTTGGAGATGCTTAACTGGATCTTTGGAGAGATTAGGGTTGAGGATAAAAGGCTTTGAAGTTATGAGGTAAGGAGATCTCTGTGGTCAAAAGGGTGTGGAGTCAGAAGAGGGAGGAGCACCATATCTTAGGAAATGTTCACATGTAGGGAAGATAGAAGAAGGACTGCGAGAAGGAGGCGTAAACATAGTGTAACTTTCTTAGAACCTAAAATTTTATTGGGGAGAGAGTCTTGAATATAGTACACATTTATATTAATTATGGAAGTGCTGTAACATTAAAGAACATAGTACCATGAGAATTTATCAAAGGAATTTTTTTTTAAAATTTATTTGTCTGACAGAGAGAGACACAGCGAGAGAGGGAACACAAGCAGGGGGAGTGGGAGAGGGAGAAGCAGGCTTCCCGCCGAGCAGGGAGCCCGATGTGGGACTTGATCCCAGGACCCTGGGATCATGACCCGAGCCGAAGGCAGACTCTTAACGACTGAGCCACCCAGGCGCCCCTATCAAAGGAATTTGATTCAGTTTAAGATTCTAAAAGAGCTGCTTCTAGGAAATGACATTTGAGCTGAGAGAACTGGAGAGTAAGTAGGAATTAACCAGTTAAAGGAAGAGATGCATTCAGGGTAGCGTGGGGGAGTGGACGCATTCAGGGAAATGAAAAGAGATCATGGAGGGCCCAGAGATGTGCGGTGGAGGCTGGAAAGGTAGGTGGGAGCCATAGCATGCAGGATCTTGTAGACCATATTAGAGAGTTTGACCATTAATCAAAGATGCACAAGAAACCACTGAAAGATTTGAGTAGTGGGGGAAGGGGATGCAGTGATCAGGTTTGCATTTTGAATCAATCATTCTGTAGTAAAGAGAATCAGTGGATCAAAATGAATGGGGCAGGGTTGCCTGGGTGGCTCAGGGGTTAAGCGTCGTCTTCAGCTCAGGTCATGATCCCAGGGTCCTGGGATCGAGCCCCGCATCAGGCTCCCTGCTCCGCGGGAAGCCTGCTTCTCCCTCTCCCACTCCCACTCCCCCTGCTTGTGTTCCCGCTCTCGCTGTGTCTCTCTCTGTCAAATAAATAAATAAAATCTTAAAAAAAAAAAAAGAATGAATGGGGGAGGCCAGCTAGGAAACCATTGCTAAAGTCTCAGTGGGTATGATTATTGCTAGGGTGAGGGTGGTGGTAGTTAAGATCTAGAAAGATTTAAAGTTGGCAGGATCTGCTGAAGGATTAGAAACAGAGGGGAAAAGGAAGTATGTATGCAGAGATGTCCTCTAAGTGTCTGGATCGCACAATGGGTGGATGGCATTGCTGAGTCCCAACATTGGAGCGCAGGAAAAAGGACCAGGTGGTTTTGCATCATATTTTGTTTTGTTTTGTTCTACTTGAAGGAAGTGGGAGTGCAGGGTGGAGCGCCTCTGTTTTGTTTAGGCGTAAGTTTGAGGTGTCTCGAGGTGTCTACGTGGAGATGCTTCCAAAGGCAGCAGGTATCAGTGAGAAGCCAAGAGGAGAGGTCTAGGCTGAAGAAAAGCAGCTAGGGGACACTGGGTTATGTGCAGTTACCAAAGCAGTGGGAGGCCGTGGTAGAGCGAGGCGTGCAGAGAACCAGGGCCTAAGCCTTGGGGGCCACCAGCCAGGGAGGAGACCCGGCAGAGCTCCTGGCAAGGATGTGTCCCTCCTCATTTTAGTCTCGGTTCAAATGCACCTCCTCTGAAAGCATCTCATGGGCACTAGCCTGCAACTTCCTGTGTTGACTCTGGCACTGCCCCATTCGTCTCCTTCTATTGAATTGGAATTTTAAATGATGTATTTCTAGTTCTTTGCTTGACTGACCATCCCACTAAATGCCACTGGGCAGAAGCATGTTTATCTACTAGCAGATCTCCAGATCCCACCGCTGGGCCTGGCACATAGTGTGTGTTTGGAGATATTTGCTGGGATGAACATGTGAAGCAGTCAGCGAGTCCATCAAGCAGTCGGCCAGCCAAAGCTGTAGGAGGAAAGGAGGAGAGCCATGTCTGGGAAGTCAGTGGGGACAGAGAAAGCTCTAAAAAGGAAGGGGTCAGTAGGATGGATGTGTGCTGAGGCTAGCAAAGTCATGGACAGCTGCCTACTGATACCGATGTGATCCCAACAGTAATGGAGTGAGGAGTGGAGGCACCTCCTAGATCCTCAGGCTCTTGGCTTCAGGCTGAAATTGCCTCTCTGAAATTCACCTGGACCCCTACCCCGGGCCTTGAGTTAAAACACAGGCAACCTCTGGGGACCATCCCAGCTGTGGGTCCAAGTCCCACGTGCTGCTATACCAGTATCGCAGTCTCTAATCCTAGTGGCCCGAGGCTTCTGGACTCTGCCCTCCAGCTTCGGGAGTGGGACAGGTGCAGACAGCCCAGAAGTTCCCACTCAAGCAAAGAGATACGCCGACGCCGATCCCTCCATTCATGTCTCTGAGTGTGTATTTTATGAAATAAGTGCCCCATGCTCCAATAAAGTTTCTCAGTCAAGTAAGGTTGGGAAGTAGAGGGATAAACCTACTTCAGCGGGCTGGGCATCTTTGCTGTGGGACTTCTCAGAGCTCCTAACAGAGTGCTCAGTAGCTCGGGCTGTCTGCCTGCCCGTGCTGTGAGCTGGCTTCATTTTCCCAAATGATGAATCTCAGATCCTTTCTTTCCATCCTCTTCCCCATTATAAGTACGTGTTCCTTATAGCCAGTGATAGTATCTCTGCCAGCGAGACTGAGCTCCTGGAGGGAGGGGACCCCATCTGCCCAATGTCTGTGAGTGTTCTCTGCCCACAGAGGTGGCCTCGATTCATTTATTCAGCAACTCACTGGGTGCCGGGTGAGGGACTGGGGGTGTGAGACACAGGATCTGCCCTCAGGTCGCTGTCCTCGCACGCTCCCGTCTCTCGCACTGAGAGTGACGTTCCGTCTCCTGACCACGGACTCTCAGCCCCCACAGAACTGGGCGTCCCCCACCTTGGGCCGTGCTGGCCTCCATGCTGCCCCTCACACCTGACCAGCTTGTCTTGCTTCACCGTTCCTTCTTCCTGGAGTGCTCCTTCCCTGAGCCGACCCTCGGCTTCCTCCATCTGTCAGGGCCCGGGTGGAGCACTCTGGCCTTCCCTCACCCTCAACCTGAGATGAGAAGCCAAGAGGAGAGGTCTCGGCTGAAGAAAAGCAGTTAGGAGACACTGGGTTAAGTGCAGTTACCAAAGCAGTGGGAGGCCGTGGTAGAGTGAGGCGTGCAGAGAACCAGGGCCTAAGCCTTGGGAGCCACCAGCCAGGGAGGAGACCCGGCACAGCTCCTGGCATGGAGGCCAGGCACTCTCCTCCCTTTCTGGCTTCATTTCTCCTCACAGCACTTAGCTCTTCCTGGTGGTTCACTGTATGTGCCTTTCTCTTATCGTGTATTACTAGTTGTTACTAGTCTCTCACGCGAGAATCTAGAATGCAGGCACCACGAGGGCAAGGGTGTCAGCCCTCCTGCATGCCAGTTATCACAGTGCCCACACGGAGGAGGCACCCAGATACCGGGTAGCCGCGAATGCCATCTTGGAGCGCACGCTTCTCCGGAGGATGCAGACAAGCCAACGGGGAATGACCCACAGTGAGGTAAGGCCCACGACAGGAGGTGGACAGCAGCTCCTAGCCACACCCGGGGGCAGGAGCCTCGGCCAAGACCTCCCTGAGGTCGCATCTAGCAGAAAGCCGAGGGACAGATGGGAGTGAGGCAGGCGAAGAGCAGGGGCAGGAGGAGAGCACGGGAGGCCCGCACCTGCCGGCGCCCCACAGCGGGGAGGAGGAGGGGCGCGTGACGGCTGCGGCGGAGCGCAGTCCCCGGTGTGGTCACTGGAACTGGAAGTCTGCCTCTCCTTACTCCTTTGCCATTTTCCAATTAAACTGCTTCAATAGGGAAAAAAGCTTCCATATATAAACACCATTATAGGAAATCATTAAAAAGCTGCCATTTCATTATGGTTGCTATATTTGCAAGCCTGCATTAGCAACCCAAAGGTTTTCTTGAGCTGGATTTTATATGCAGAGTTTGCTGCGGT